GGGAAGGGGAGGGAAGGGGAGTGGAGGGGAAGGGGAGTGGAGGGGAAGGGGGGAGGGTGGATGGGGAGGGGAGGGGAGGGGAGGGGAGAGGGGGTAGGGGAGGAGAGGAGAGGACATGTCCCTATGGGCAAGCAGATATTATAGACACCTGTGAAGGCACATGCCCTTCTGGACCTGCAGTGAGGATATTCTAGGATATCTCCAGTGACACAAAGGATAAACACTTGGGGTACTCAACTGACCCAGCCTCTGATTTCCAGCCCAGATATAGAATCACATCCTTAGCCCTGGCAGCTAAGGCACCAGGCCATTGGACTCTGAAGCAGTGCTTGGTCTACAATTTTATAACTGTGCCAAGGTAACCTCAGGAACACTTTCTCTCATTTATTAGGAGCATGATCCTAACGAGGAGTATTATCTCTTCTGACCAGCACAGCTTTGTATCTGGCTGATCTTCTGTATCAGTTTCAGTTGTAGGAGGAAGAGAAGAACTCAACTTTTTTTTTTTGTTTTTAAATCCTTGCAAATAGTTGGTCATTATATCTGTCTGAGTTTTGACTGTGATTCTTTAGGGTGAAAATATAGATATGGAAACAATAGATGTATAGATAGGTAGTTAGATTGAAGACAGATAAGGGACAAGTAGATATAAAAGAAGATACAGAAGAATATTATAAGTTCCTTAATTTTACTAAATTCTGCATGTGTCCAGTACAAAAAAAGAAATAATTCTTTCCATTTTGGGAAAAAAAAAAGTACCACAATTGAAATCAGTAGCAACACCAATTCTGAAATTCTAATTTGAAGCCATGAGCCATTTAGGTCACACAAATCAAAGCAGAACACAATTCCAGAATAGCAATATTTAATATTTACATATATCAGTGAAACCAGTGATTACAGAGGTGTCCCCATTAGTATACAGACACAACACTAAGCATCCCTGGGGCAGGACAGCTGGGAACAAACAGGTGACAGCAGTACATTTACCTTTGTGTGGGATGCTAGATACAGGTGGGTATCTTTCCTTGTACTGGTTCTGGCGCAGCACAAACTGAATCTCTTGTTGAGATAAGAAACAAGAAAAAACTTCAAGGATGAGAGCAGGGCTGATGTTTAAGGGCCGTGAAGATCTCATCACTCCTGTCTCTCAATCTGACTACATACTGAGCACCCTCCTGGCTGCCTCCTCGACTTCCTTCGCAGTTGAATCAATTGGTGTCTGTTTTTTTTATGGCGGTATTGCCCAGGCTTTGCTGCTTACAATGCACATCAGATTTGAGGCCACCTGGCAAGTTTGGATGCACCTAAATCACACTGGCAAACCTCGATGAATATTACACTCTCTTTACAATAGGTATTTTAAACTTCATAGGTCAGGCTGCTTGCTTCCAGGGTAAAGTTATGCTTCAAGGAAGTGTCTGTGTGCTCCTCTTAGCACTACTGACATTTCCTTCACCAGTTTTTGCAGAGAGTTCGTGTGCTGCATTAGAGGATGACACATATGGCCATGTATGTGTGTGGAAGGTCTGGGTGCACACAGAAGGCTTTCTCTCATGCTACAATACAGAAATATGAACACTTGAAAACGTAAGTGCCTCTTTTTGGAAAATGGATTCCAACAGTTTTAGATATATTCAGGTTTTCATAACTCTCTACAGGCATTCAGGATGGTTAACAATTTTCTTACAGTTTGCCTGACTCAGGGAAGTCAGGGGCATGCCCAAGAGTAGCCTTTGAGGAAGACAGTGACGTGATGGGGATTCTGAAACTTGCCAGTCATGGGCTTTGGCATGAAAGGCTTGACTGTGAATGATGGTGGAGAATTACGCAGATCCTCCTTGGGATTACTGTTGCTGTAACAGAAAGACTTACGCAATTTGCTGCCTTTCAGATTGTATCTCTGATTTGTTACTGAGCTGTGTGTAATTACTCGCCTTATTGATTTAATGTTTTTCTTTCCAGGTAATTGCTCGTGCATGTGATCTATTCTAGAACAGCCCTACAAAGCTGTGTGGAATTTAGTGAGACTTCTACACAGTCTTGTGAGGGCAAAATTGATGCTGAGGTTCTCCTTTGCACTTAGTTAAACTCTTGCTCCAAAATATGTGGTCTACATTGACCAAAATGCTCTTCCAGGGCTACTGCATGTAGCAGATGCACCTGAAGAATCAGACTTTGGTGACAGCAAGATAGCAAAGAAAGGGATTTGGATCCAGGGTGGCTGAGGGAGGCTGAAGTCTGTGTGCTTCATTTGACTCTGCAGTGCTGTGGGTGCAGCTCAATATATTTTCTGTGGATCCTAAAGTAAAACTGGGTTCCTGGGTAGCAAGGTAAGAGGAACACATGTGAGCTCAAGGTGAGTCTGGAGAAGACAGGAAACTGTTTTAATCCAGGCAGTGCTATTTACATCTTGCTTTGTGCAGCTGATAAATGCACACACTGTCAGTGATTTGGTTTCCCGTGAACACAAAAGGGCAAATGGTGAGCTTCTATGTGGGGACTTTACTTCATACATAAACATGGCAGACTGGACTGGACAGATCTGTGTTTTTGACACTACCTGAATTTCAGCAGGAGTATCTAGAGAGATGAAAATCTGGAGTCTCAGATGTAAATGACATAGCCATTTTCAACCTTGATTTCTTCATTTAAAAAATCCATTTTACCCCCCTCGAAGCTGCTGAACATTTGCGGGTTTCTTTGTTCCTCCTCATAAATACAGCACAATGCATCATTTTTGTAATACAGACTTTGCAGCTCAAGGCATGTCTTGTCCCCTGCAGGTGGTTCACATTCCCGAAATGTTTGTCTGAAAGGCAGTGAATTAAAAGTGGTTAATTAATAATCCAGAGGGATATCAGACTTCATGCAAGCATCTTGTACAATGAAAGCCAGGATTGGAAAGGAAGCAGTGGTGATAAATGAAATAGGAAATAAGTTTTCTACTGTTTTATAAAATGACACTTTTACTACCAATTGAAATTCCTCTATTTCTTATATTACCCATTTTTGGAGGGCCATTACACTTTAACCAAAAGTCTTCTTGAGCGGGAACACAAATGTGCAACTGAATATGGGAAGTATCACACTTCTAAGCTATTCTGAAATATCTGAGAGCTGAGTTATTCCCATTTACACTGAGATGGAGACTGATAATGTGCAAATGCATCTGAACTGCCTCTGCTTTCCAGAAGTATTCAGTCAGGGTTTGTGCATCTCTCTCTGATTACGTACCATTACCATTAAAGAAGTGGTAAGAATTTAAAGCTCTCTGGTATCTTTTATTGCATACCAACCTTTCTTCTCCTCATACATGTGCCACACACAAAGCCAGTGAGTCCATTGATGACTTGAATTGAGCAAAGAATTGCTTCTATCACACCAAGGGCCAGGAGAATAGAGAAAAGGACAATATTCCAAAGGATGATGTTTTCAGGTTCTTTGCAAATGCTCCATGTTGTCTGATTGAACAAATAATTGTATCTGTTACAAAGAAGAATAATTGGCAATGTATTAGAAAATATGAATTTGAGAATGCTTTCACCTGTATGCCATTATAGAATAGCTTCGCATTTTCTTGCTTTACATTCTTTGAATTTGTTTGCACAGTGTGAAAAGGGAGTCTCAAATTATACTGCAGTTGGTAAATCTAATGATTCTCTTTAGGATTCCCTTTGCAGAAGTGCAATTAATGACTTTACCCATGCTTTTCTGCATGCTCACAGCAGTGCTAAAACCTAAGGGGAAAGGTATCTAATGGTTTTAAAATATTTCTCCATATTATCCTTTTCTGCTGAGGTATCTCAGCCTATCCATCATCTCTAGGTCTGGCTTGAAGAGTGTGGTTGTCAAGTTTGCCTTTATAGGATCAAAAGAGATTTTTGTTTTACTTTTCAGAAGTAGGCACAGTAGACTCAAGTCATGTTGATTTAGCAGGTTAATATGGCATAATTATCAAATACTTCCTCTTGACTCTGATGATAGTCACAGCTCATCACTCAGCTGCCTTTTGAAGGCATGGTGCGACATGCACAAGGGGT